GAGCCCAAACACATGGGTTAGCATGAGAGAGGGGAGAAAATGATCCAATGCCTTAGGAGGATATCTAATAGTCTGCCATAGCATTTAGACAAAGCCAACATCAATAAAATGCCCAAAATTAAATAGGTTATTCCCAGCAGCTTGACGAAAACCCATTAAGCGCTGGAAATAACGTGTTGATAGCCCAATATTGTACACGAGCCCAGCCCAGCAACTTGTAGAAAAGCTGTCACCGTACTCCACCGTTGTTAGGACTCCAAGATGGTCGAATAGGAAGCCATGACAGAGACCAACGGAAACCCATGAGTGTAGGAAGAATACCCATCAGACAAAAGCCTCTATCCATCTTCTTTTCCACTGCAAGCTCTATCTTGAAAAACCAGAGGGAAAGCAGGTGGCGCTTCACCCTTATGGAGAAGACCAGCTGTGTCAAAACCTTGGAACCACAAAGGGCTCCTTAGCCATGCGCCTTGGATAGGAAAATTGCATCAAATAGGATCAAGTGGGAAGGAGCAACGAAAAGGGAGAAAAAGGTTAGATGAAATTAGGGATTCTTTGTGCCTATAAAAGGGAGCTTCTTCTACCCAGCAAAAATCATCATCCAGAGCCTGACCAAGCTTTGTCAAGCAAACTGGGAATTTTACCCAAGCCACCCAATTTTCGCCTCTAGTTGTTTCATCTTCCCATTAGGAAGAAATCCTCCTAATTTTCCTCTGCCTCAGTCTTAATTTCTGTCCTCTGTAAGAAACTCATTCTCTCTCTCTCTCTCTCTCTCTCGTGCTTCTCTCTCTCTCTCTCTCTCTCTCTCTCTCTCTCTCTCAAATTGCTAAACTTGTGAAAGCTTAGCTCCCATGCCACAAGCTCCTCATGCCAAGCCATATTATCGCTAATCTGTCACGTTTATTTGATTCATTGGTGAAGGGAACCAAGGTGTTTTCTAAGATTTTCACAAACCCTTTCAAAACTCTCTTGGAGCCCGGTCTTTGAACTCAGGAACAAGGGCAATCTCCTCTGCTCATCCTTTACAGCAGCCCAAGCCCATTCGTCTGGCTACTGGAAGAAAAAGACCCCTACAGATACAAATGTAACCTAGTCTAATAACCTTGAGCTTGAGAAATTACATTACATATCCTATTACAAAGTTGGCAAGGAAAGCTAAAAGAATTACTAGCTAGAATACAACTCAACAAGATGATATGTAATTTAAACAATGAATGAAATGGAAAAAAACAAAACAAAACATTGATGGAGTCATCAAACTGCTCCAGAGAAGTTGCAAAGGAGGAGGATTGCATATTATCATCACCCACACTAAAAGCAGTTACACTTTTCAAAAATATTAACGAAAGAAAGCATATTTAATATGTGAAAGAAGAAGTTAGGATACAATCATAATTATGCAACGAACAGATAAACAATATTTACCCCAAGAGCTGCAAGACGATTGAAGTAGAGATCGATCCTCTCCAATTATTAAATTCCCCCAAAACATTATTCTGGCATTGCATCAAACACCTAGTGAGCAATTTTTAAAATGTTATTAAGATGAAGAAGTACGGTTTTACCCTTAGAGCTAGCATGCAAGAAGTCCAGACCGATCGAACTCCTCCATCAAGTTTCTTTGGAGCCACAGAGATATGAAGTAGACCTAAAGTAAAAGCTCCCAACATGCAAAAAGAAGACAAACAAAACAACCAAGCACAGTCAACAAACCAGCTAAAATGGCAAAACAACAACAACAAGAAGCCAAAAGGGAAGCAAAGGGAATGGGAGGAGTAGAGTGAGGGGGAGGGCTGAGAGAGAAGGGGGAGGAGAGGGAAGCCACCCACCCCCAAAGGGTTGGCCCCTAAGGATGTTTTGCTAGGGTTTTCTCTCACTGCCCTATGCTTCCATATTTGTATTACTATTTGTGGATGGTCTGCCTAATGTATTTGTCATTACGGTTGATGGTTGCTTGAGTAAATTTCCGCACGGGAAATATTCGCGGGTTGATTCTTCACCCTTCGAGCTTCCTTCTCTCCCATCTTCCTTGATTCAAGCGAAAAAGACGTGAGTAAATATACCACACTTGGGGGGTGTTGGCCAAAGGTCTTCCGATGTCTAAGTCAATTAAATGTTCTTAAAAAAGATACTGAGATAATGGAAAGGATGGAGGTCTTCTCTCACGGGGAGAATCGAGTGGCAGGAGCCGTGTGTGAGGGTGGCCGGAGCCGTGAAGAAGGAGAGTGGCGTGAGAGAGAGGGCTTTTCAAGGGTAGAAATTAGATTACCTCATATGTGTGATGTAGTCATGTATTTATAGTGCTCGTTGTAGGCTAGGGTTTGGAGAATAATCCTTATTCGGTTAGGATTATTCTTACCCATAAATAGGAGATTGGCTTTAGTCAAGGAGATTTGATGGAAATCTCATCCTCAATTTGGGGAGATATTCTCATTTTAAATCAAAGATAATTTTCGTAATTAAATATGATTTAATTAGGGTAATCAGTTGACCTAATGAATATTTCTTTTCCACGTGTCGTCCATCTATTGGTTGCCGAAATATGTGTTCCCATAATGGTCTGCCTAATTTATTAATACAATTATCATTTTTTTCTATGAAAAAAAATCACCAATTCTACTAATTGACGCCATATTTCTCCTATAAAAGGCTCCATATATGTATGTAATGACATCCTCATAAACCAAGATTCACACACCCAAAAAAAACACAAAGATTAGCATTTCATGAAACACATTTCAGCACTGATATGTAGCTTAATTAGTTAGCCCTAGTAACTTTCAGAGATCTGCGGCAGTCAAGAAGTCTTCCACTATCTGTGCATAACTTCTCCTATGTGAATCGAATCTGCAACATGAGTCCAGCAAAGTATATATGGTTTGTACGATTTGCCCTTTCGATTTCTTTTTAGTCTCTCCTATTTTTCTTCTTAAATCAAGAAGTCCAGGCTGATCGAACTCCTCCATCAAGTTTCTTTTGGAGCCTCTTTTTTTCTTGGGGTTAGCCTCCGCTCACCAAATTAATGCAGTGTGTTCCACAAGCCTTTCGAGTATAATGCCTCTTGGAGAATGTGCACACAAAGAAGTTTGATAAGTGATGATGAAGCGGCAGCTTTCTCTTTTGAAACTTGCTGGCTTGGGACTTTAAACGTCTTCATTTTGAAACTTGCTGTTACTGATTTCGAGCTTCTTCATCCAAAAACATCCTTAGTCTAATCAGAAATCCTAATATGGTATCCAATCTCGTTTCAAAATTTAATAGACACAAATTATATAAAATTGTATCTGCAATTTTGTTGTTACACCAGTATAACTTTGTTGTATAAACCATGTGATGAACATTTTATATATATATATATAAACAAGGGCTAATTAATTTAGATGCACGTGAATCATGATTAGAGTATACTTGTACTGTTTTTAGACAACAAGTACCATAGGCATATGGAACTTTACAGGAGAACAAAGTGATGACTTGATATGTAATTATTCCAGCGTATTTCATGAGTCACATTGATTGCATGACTAGTATACCATATGGAGAGAGAAATTGAACTTGCATCCAGCTGAGCACAAGCTCATGCGTTACACGATTTTGCTTTTGATTGCTTCTCCTCTTTGTTTTTAGGTACAGAGGTTTTTATCGCTTGGAACAAGCAATGCCTTCCTTCACGGAAAATATATAATAATAAGCAACCTTTTGGAAAAGTAGGATAAAGAATAAGCTCAGTCCCAATTATTGAATATAATTATCACTAATTTTTTTATTTTAAAAAAGCTCAATCCCAGGATATCAGTGTAACATAGGATACCAAATTTAGCATATCCGCAATGTTGGTTCATAATCTGAACTATAAATATTATTCGTACAAAAAAAAAAAAAAAGTCATTTAGCTATAATGAATAAGAATAATGCCACTATTATCACATTTTGTATACCACATTTTCATACCACATGATGTGGCACCTTAACTTGGATATGCCACGTCATTTAATTTAATTTTACGTTTTTTATTTTTTTAATTAAAAACCCTAGTAAAAAAATTGATTAGATCTTACGTTTTATTCTCCACTCCATCTCTTTCTTCTCTCTCCCACCGCCTCAGCCTCCTCCCTTCTTGTCCTTTCAGCCATTCTCCGTTTTCCATTCTTTAGTTGATTCTTATTTGATTTCTAGCAAACCATCTGTTCTTTCCTTTTTACTTTTATAAAGAATGATGATGTTGTCTAATTGTTTCATTGAAAATTAAAGGAGTCAAAAGGAAGAAAAATGTCTATATCATGTTAAGGGTTTTGGGCCATTGTTCATGGCTGAAAGTTCTCAGATCTATCTACGATGATTGGTCTTTTCCTATTAATTGCATTGATCCTGCTTTTTTTTAATTT